GTATTATTTAAATGGAGGAAGAATGCAGAAAGATACAGCACAGAGGGATTTGGGAGTTCCCATGCATATATTTCAAAAGGCGAGCATGCATGTTTATGAGGTAAGAGGAAAGGCAATTTCAAAGGGAATGGAGTATAGAAATGTGGAGGTTTTGCTAAAACTTTACGTGGCACTGGTCAGACCACAGCTACAATACTGTGAATTGTTTTGGTCCTAAGGAAAGATATACTGGCATTGGAGGCAGTCCAGAAAAAGTTCACCAAGTTGATCCTAAGAATGGAAGGGGTAGGGGAGTCCAAAACTAAAGGACATAGGTTAAGCTGAGAGGAGAAAGACATAAAAAGGACCGAAGGGGCAACATTTTCATGCTGAGAACGGTGCATGTAATGGAATGAGCTGCCTGAGAAAGTGGTGGAGATTGGTACAATTATAACATTTAAGAGGCAACTGGATAGATACATGAATACGAAGGGTTTAGGGGGATATTGGCCAAATGCTGGCAGATAGGACTAGTTTAATTTAGGATATCTGGTCGGCATGAATGAGTTGGACCGAAGGGTCTGTTTCTGTGCTGTACAACTCTATGACTCGATGACTGTCTAAGCAGGAGAGGTTGCATAGGTTTGGACCAATATTCGTTGTAACTTAGAAGAATGAGAGCAATCATATTGAATCATGCAAGATTCTTAGGGGCACTTGACAAGTTAAATATGGAGAGGCTGTTTCCTCCTGTGGTGGAGTCTAGGACCAGAATGATCACAAAATAATGGGTCTCCCATATAAAACAAATATAAGGAAGAATTTTTTTCTTTCAGAGGGTAGGGAATTTATAGAAATTTTTTTATCACAGAGGGCTGTAGAGGTTGGGTCATTAAGTATATTCAAGGCTGAGATAGACAGATTTTTACTCAGTAAGGGGATTAAGGGTTATAGGGAAAGGACAGGTAAGTGGATTTGAGGATTATCAGATCAGCCATGATCTCATTGAACAGCAAAACTGACTCAATGGGCTGAATGGCCTAATTTGGCTGTTATGATCTTAATCAATGAAAAATGTGACACCAACCAGTGCAAAGCAGCCTGTTCAGCCTGCCCAATCAAATTATTGCCAACAATGTCTCTGCCATTGGTGTTAGAATGTGCAGGCATGTCTTTTCCCTTCCAGTTTTTCGATTCTACCTTTTGTCATGGGCCGCATTCTCCTTCATGGGTTAAATGTGGGTGGGGGAAGAGTGGATATACCAAAATAATATCTGGACTGTAAGGGTCAAATTACAATAGAGCAATCAAATCATCATTGTACTTTATAAGATTTTGAAGATTAATGAGGCTTTTGGTGTGTTGCTTGCAATGCATTGAACAGCCGTAGGTCAATAGTGTACTCCAATCCCTGAATATTCAGAGATTAACTAAATTCCTCCAATTTATGCTTTAAAAAGGATCTAGAATGATGTATGGGTTAGCCATGAAGAACGAAAGTACTTTGTGCATTAGTTAGAAATATAATTGCATTAGCTTGTGGTATGATCAATTTCCTTTTTGGATCAAGATAGCATGATACACCATAGATAGCTCCCTTTTAGAAAATGTCAGATGAGGAAAATTGACAATTTTTTCTTCTGAAAACTGCATGCAAGTGACCCACTTTCTTTCCTCGTTACAAAATCTTTGTAGCAGTATATGATAACTCAAGTTCCTACATAGATACAATTATACATGGCATAGTATAAATGAATGGTCAGCTACTGATAGATCTGGTCAGGTCCTAAACTACATAATTGCTAGACTGGGTCTGTGGCAGGTGCTGAGGGAACCAAGAAGGAAAACATACTTGCCCTCATCCTTACCAATCTGCTGTACATAGATACATCTGTCCATGATAGTATCGCTAAGAGTGACCACTGCACAGTCCTTGTCGAGATAATGACCCTCTTTCACACTTAGAATACCCTCCACTGTGTTGGATGACACTATCACTGTGCTAAATGGGACAGATTTCAAATAGATCCAGCAACTCAAAACTGAGCATCCATGAGGTGCTGTGGGCCATCAACAATAGCAGAATTGAACTCCATCATAATCTGCAACCACATGGCCTGGCCAAGCATTACCATCAAGCCAGGGGATCAACCTTGGTTCAATGGAGAGTGCAGGAGGGCATGCCAGCAAAAGTACCAGGCAAACCTGAAAATGAGGTGTCAACCTGGTGAAGCTACCTAACAGGACTACTTGCACGTCAAACAGCATAACCAGCAAGTGACAGACAGAGTTACGCAATCCCATAACCAACAGATCAAATCTAATCGCTACAGTTTTTTCACATCCAGTCATGAATGGTGGTGAACCATTAAACAACTCACTGGAGGAGGCTCTACAAATATCCCTGACCTCCATGATGGAAGAGCCCAACACACCAGTGCAAAAGATAAGGCTGAAGCATTCACAGCCAGAAGTGCCGAGTAAATGATCCATCTCAGCCTCCTCCAATGGTCCTCAGCATCACAAATGCCAGTCTTCAGCCAATTAGATTTACTCCACGTGATATCAAGAAATGGTTGGAGGCACTGCATACTGCAATTCCTATGGGCCCTGATAATATTCCAGCAATAGTATTGACGACTTGTGTTCCAGAATGTGCGGCTCCCCTAGTCAAGCTCTTCTTGTACAGTTAACAACATTGGCATTTGCCTCACAATGTGGCAAATGACCAACTATGTCCTGTCCACAAAATAGCAGGACAAATCCAAAGCAGCCAATTACCGCCCCATCATTCTACTCTCGATCATCAGTAAAGTAATGGAAGGTGTCATCAACAGTGCTATCAAGCTGCACCTGCTCAGCAATAACCTGCCCAATGATGTCCAGTTTCAATTCTGCCAGCACCACTCAGCTCCTGATCTCATTATAGTCTCGGTTCAAACGTGGACAAAAGAGCTGAATTCCAGTGGTGACAGCCCTTGACATCAAGGCTGCATTCAATCAAGTGTGGCATCAAGGAGCCATAGCAAAACTGGAATCAATGGGTATTGGGGAAAACCTCTCCGCTTATTGGAATTGTACCTGGCACATCGGAACATGATTGTGGTTGTTGGAGGTCAGTCATCTTGGTTCCAGGACATCTCTACACAAGTTCTTCAGGGTAGTGTCCTAGGCCCAACCATCTTCAGCTGCTTCATCAATGGCTTTCCCTACATCATAACGTCTGAAGTGAGGATGTTTACCAATGATTGCCTAATGTTCAGCCTTATTTGTGACTCCTCAGATACTGAAGCAGTCCATGTTTAAATGCAACAAGAACTAGACAATATCCAGGCTTGGGCTGACAAGTGGCAATTAATGTTTGCACCACACAAATTCCAGACAATGACCATCTCCAATAAGAGACAATCTAATCACTGCTACTTGACATTCAATAGCATTACCATCAATGAATTCCCACTATCAACATGCTAGGAGATACCATTGATGAGAAACTCAACTGGACCTATGACATAAACACAATGGCTATAAGAGCAGGTCAGAGGCTAGGAATACTGCAGTGAGTAACTTACCTCCTGTGTACCCAAAGCCTGTCCATTATCTGCAAGGTAGGAGTGTAATGGAATACACCCACTTGTCTGGATAGGCACAGCTCCAAAATCACTCAGAAAGTTTGACACCACCCAGGACAAAGCCGCTGCTTAATTGGCACCACATCCACAAGCATCCACTCCTTCCATCACTGACTTTTAGTTGCAGCAGTGTGTATCAGCTACCCTAAGATATACTTCAGAAATTCACTAAAGATCTTTAGATAGCTGTTTCCAAACCCATGACTGCTTCCATCGAGAAGGACAAGGGAAGCAGATATATTGGAACACCACCACCTTCAAGTTCCCCTCTAAGCCACTCACTATCCTGACTTGGAAACATATTGCTGTTCCCTTGCAGTTGCTGGGTCAAAATCCTGGAATTCTCTCCCTCAGGACATGTGGGTCCACCTACAGACTGCAGCAGTTCAAGAAGACATCTCACCACCATCTTCTCAAGGGCAGCTAGGAATGGGCAATACATGGTGGCAAGCCAGCAATGCCTATGTCTCACAAATGAATAAAACAATCCAAATTAGAACCGTGTGTCACCCTAGTTCTTAAATTGACTTTAGAATAAGGTCACCAATATTATGGAGGTCTTCAGCTCACAGCTATAATATCATGAATTGTGTACATTAATTGGACAATATATTCCCTTAAAGACAAGATGTTCATTTTCAAGTTCCGAGTCATTGTTATACATCTCCTGGTAACTAGTTAAGTTTAGAATTCATGGAACTTTGGGTGATTCTGAATACTAATCTGCTTAGCTGCAGGTGGGCAGGTGGTTTGTGTTCAGGGGTCCAATAATGCCTTTAAAAAGTTACAATGTTTATCACAAGTTGTTTGGGTGATAGATGAGTAATTATTTCTTAAAATGCTGCTAACATTTGATATGGGAAATAGGGTAATGGCCATATATACCACATTATAGAAAAACCATACTTAAATCCCGTTAAGAGTCAAAACAAATTTGCAAATATCAGTGTTGTTACTATAAAATGAAGTTTGGAAATTTAATTTTAATTAGATAAAAAAATGTGACTGACCAAATATTTAAAGCAATGACTGCTACTGTTCTATGAATATTGAGAACTATATACATCTGAATCATGTCAGTAATCTCATGTGCTGAATGCTGTTCAAGATCGGTGCCAAATTCATAAATGTACCCTGTTATGAATTTAATTTACATGTTGCACGGGGAGCAATTTATTACAATTTAACAATAGAATTTCAACTATGCAGCTTTCCAATAAATGCACAGAAAACCTGGTGGGCTTGTAATGGATGAACGATCTTTGATCTCAATTTTTCTCACTGTACAGGCAGTAAAATCAAACTTATTCTTCAAACATTAGAAGATTAGCATTAAAAGTAAAAGTGAAATAATAAACAGTTTTTATTTCAGGTACTACTATATCATACCTGAGCCAAAATGCCATGGATCTGTTGCAGCTGGCATTGGTGAAATGGTTAAAGGGGATGCTCCACAATTTGATTCAACAAATTCTCCTTGGACACTGACTGGTGAAGAGGCGCTGGGTCTCAGTGCAGCCTTGAGTGGTGCAATGTCATTGAACTGAACTCGTGACAGACAGCCGACAAAGCCTGGAGTATTATACTTCTGTACCTCCTGGTCAATGTTTCCAATTTCTGGAATGATCACAAAAGATAGTTAAAATAAGCATTGAGTATCAGATTCAGTCTGAAAATGGACACTGTATTGTAGTGAGATAACAAGGTGTAGAGCTGGATGAATGCAGCAAGCTAGGTAGCATCAGAGGAGCAGGAAAGCTGACGTTTCGGGTCTGGACCCTTCTTCAGAAAATCTGACCTGAAACGTCAGCTTTCCTACTGTTCTGATGCTGCCTGGCCTGTTGTGTTCATTCAGCTCTACACCTTGTTATCTCAGACTCCGGAATCGGCAGTTCCTACTATCACTGTATTGTAGTGGATTATTTTACTTTTTGGGGATGTTTGCAAATTGATAAGCATTCATCTAATAAGTATTCATTTCGTGATGCTGAAAAGGAGAAATTGCAATCTGCATACTAATATAACAATTACAACACCTATTTCCATTCTTACAATAAAGGCCCAATCATTCAGCCCTCTTTGGGTTACACCAGCAACCATCCAAAATTCGGGTGTGCAGAGGTGGGAAGTTCTCTGGATTCCCTTGCCCCTATACAGTAAAGGAAAATGTTTAAAATGTCCTCAAAGGTTGTAAACTCTGCATTCACCTCACTGCCATAGGACAGCAAGAGGAGAAATAGGAAGATTTAGATTATCGATGCATGGCCTGAAGCATGGTGCACAAGGGAGTGCTTTATTGGGATTGGTTATGGATAGATGAAGAAATATTTTCTTCAGCCATATCATGTTCCTAAAATGTCTTCTTTGACCTTATTAGTTATTAGTGAATGGAATCTAAAAATGGTCAATTAATCCAAAATCTAACTATTCAAAATGATGGATTACACCTTAATAAGACAAGGCTAATGTCCTCCCAGGAAGGTTCATTGGTCTGGAGACAGTAAGGGCTTAAGATGCTGGAAGCTAGAGTCAATAAATGTAGAGATGGAAAAGCACAGCTGGTCGGACAGCATCCGAGGAGTGGGAAAGTCAACGTTTTGGGCTGAAACCCTTCGTCAGGACTCATTGGTGTGGTTGAGGAGAATTTAAACTAAATTGGCAGGAGCATAGTCATCAGTATATAGAAGCAGAAATGAGGAATAAGAGGTGCACAAAGAAGTGAGAGTGTTGGATAATAGTTGATATGGAAATAGTACTATATTAGGCAGGAGCAAAATATTGTAAGTATTCTTGGGTAGTTACTCAAACTGTTCTTGGGGGTGCTATATATGCTAATAGACGAGTGTGCAGTGCAAGCTCAAAGATTCCTGAGCTCCTCTACTGACCTCAGAATATGCTTCTCACAAAAGTCACCATATATGGCTGAAAGATATATCCAGGGAACACTTGGATATATCTTTGACCCCAACACCACAGGTATTCTCAGCTTCCTTATTTCCACTAGAGTTTTGATGAACAACCAGGAACTGTGAAAAATTGATTGATGGTAGATGGGGACAGCTAAATGTCTCCATGATAGAGGATGCCTGACCCATGCAAATAAAAGTGATAAAAATCTGTTCAGACCCCTCAGCAAGATGTTTATCTCAGTTCCTATGTTAATTAGACATGAAGCTTCTCCCTTTCCAAATTTTATGCTCACTGTAGGGTAAGTCTGTAAATTTCTTTCAATACATTTGCATCTTTTTGTTAAAAAAAGGTGACTTGAAATTGTACACAATACTCCTGAATCACCTCATGAGCACTCTGCACAACTGTAGCAAAGCATTGTTATGTTTACATTCCATTCCACTTGCAATAAGCCACTTGCCACATTTTGCCGAACTGAAAATGACCCATTTGTACCTACTTTCTGTTTCCAATTAGCTAACCAATCCTCCACTCATACTAACATGTTGTCCTCCAATGCCATGAGCTATTTTTTTAACATTGCAGCCTTTGATAGAACTTAGTTTTTTTATCCTTCTTCTTTTGTAAAAAAAGTTTTTCCTTTGTTAGAAAACACCAATAAATTTGTCAAACATGATTTCTCTTTCATGAAATCATCATTGAGATTTTCTAAGCGTCCCTCTGTAACCCCCTTAATAATAGATTCCTGTATTTTCCCTATGACAGATGTTAAGGTAATTGGTCAATTGTTTCCTGCTTCCGGTCTCTTTCTTGAATGATGAACCATGTTTGTTATTTTCCAATCTGATGGGAACTTAACCCCAATTATGACTGACAGAGTTCAAATCCCTACACGAGGCTGACTTTAGTTATCTTTTGTTCTCCATTTAAAATATATATAATATTATATAATTTAGAACTGCATTCTATATTACATTGGTGTTGTACTTTAATTCAAATCATAACTTTACTTTGAAAGCCATTACTGGAAACTATGGTTCTATTGCTTAAAGGGTAAGTCAACAACCAACTAACCGTACTCATTTAATGCATGTTGTTGATATCAAGATTATGTAAGTCAAGTTTCAAGTTTCAGAGGTCAAATTAAATCAGATGAGTCTATTATTTCTCATTAATATTTAACTAGAATTAATGGAATGAAGCAGCTTGTTCATTTAATTTCTCCGCTACTTCCTGTAAAGAATGAGCATATTGGTGACTGCATGATGGATTAAATTTAGCCAAGCATATTTAGTGTAACAGTTAAACTGCAATGCTCAAAACTTCTAAATCCATGTTTTATGATTGAAATAATTTTCTTTAGCTTGTAGTATTGTTAGTATGTTCAGCCAGCTAACTGTACACACATTATCAGAAACGATTGAATTAGCATGGTCCAAGGAATGATTGTAACAGCAATCCATACCCAAATGTCAGTGCTCCTAGTCGATTTACCTATTGATCTCAAGTTTCAAGGATTGTTCAAGTTCCTTCCTATTTCTGAACTGACAAAGGGCAAGAATTTCATCTGAATTTGACTTTTCATGTTGGCAGATGTTATGATGTGAAAAACCCAGGCTCTTTCTTTACATCTTGGGGTCATAGCATTATTTCTTTCAGTAATTTTAAATGTGGTTTTTGTGCTCCTTTCAACAGAAATAAGGAGAGAGCAACTTTATATAGAAATGAGGGAGAGAAAGATTGATGCAGCTGGCTTTGGAGGTTTCCTTGCTTCTCTCTGTCGCTTTGCTTACATAGTCTGTGTTAAATTGCAACGCGACAAAACAGAGGCATTTTGCTACACTGAACCAACAACAACTGGCAATCAAAAGACTGTCTCTGAGCTAAATTGCCCTAACCACATAAAGGTGGTGCTGCTTTGTCTGGATTCAATATCCCCAAAAAGTAATTCTTTTTTTTCATATGCACCATTAAGCTTCACTTGTTTTCCTAAGGCTGCAAACAACTCCAGTGAAGAAGGGTCACTGGACCCGAAATGTTAACTCTGCTTTCTCTCCACAGATGTGACCAGATCTGCTGAGTTTTCCCAGCAATATGTGTGTTTGTTTCTGATTTGCAGCATCCGCAGTTCTTTGGTTTTTTGTTTCCTTCTATTTTTTCTCTATTTTAAAGAGGTGTCTTTTTTTTTCTCATTTCTCATTATCAAAGCCCAAGTAAATGTGATCTCTTACGCTATATACTGAAGACGATTAGAAAGATCTTAAACAAACATCAGAACAAAATTTTAACTTACTTTCTAACATTACCCTTCTGCAGATACTCAATTCCAGAAAATATCAATCCTGCTTTTTAAATCTTTACTTAATAGAGTCTTCCCAGTTTCTTTTCTTTTTACTGTGAAAACAATTTTATAATTCCATTATGAATCTGCTGGCATGAAGCCTTCACAATTCCGATGCTCTGAAGTTGCTCCGTTTTCACAACTTGAGGAATTCCATAAAAGCTCTCCCAGATTTGGAAATACCACAACCTAGAAATTATTTCTGCTGAGGTGACTTGTCCCCCTGAACTGAAAAGTTGAATTTTCTGCACTGCGACCTTGAACCTTCTGTTCTGAAGTCAAAACTAAACCGATTGCCTTGATAAGTTTACATAAGTTTAGACTGCCTGTTGTAATATTAACTTTAATTCATTAACAATGTTCTGCATTTTGGAACTGATGCACTTAGTTCACTGTCCAAATGACTTTCTGACCTGCTTAAAAACATACTTACACAGAACTGACCTACATCCAGATGCCTCTATTTTAAAATTCAAATCCCAAAATATAATATCTTACATCTTTCATCACAGTATTTATACAAAAGAGAAACTTGTGTGGATTTTCCTTAGCTTTTTGCACATCAGTTGATAACATGTTACCTTGCACCATAATTGAAACCCATGGCTATTACAATTCAGCTACAATTCAGTTTCTTAAATAAATTGGCATCTAGATATAATCATAGAACCCCTATAGTGTGGAAGCAGGCCATTTGACCCCTCAAGTCCACAATGACCCTCCAAAGAGCATCTCACTCAGACATACCCCACTCTATCCCTGTGACCCTGCATTTCCCATAACTAATCCAACTAGCCTGCACATCCCTGCACACTATGGGCAATTTAGCATGGCCAATCCACCTAATCTGCATATCTTTGGATTGTGGGAGAAAACTGGAGGACCCGGAGGAAACACATGCAAACATGGGGAGATGTTGTACTTTTAACCAAAGGATCTTGATGGTAGCCTTCAATCCTTGCCAACGGTCAGCACACACTCATTTCTGTCATACAGAAGTGCCTGCATACCTGTTGTCTACATAACACTAAAAGGCTTAAAATCTGATGAGCAGCAATGGTCTTCAGATTTCTGCTGTGCCTGCTGATTCCTGTGACTCAATGCGGATCCTTTACGTTCGTCCAAGCCCAGCTCTCATATAAATGCATAGCATAACATTCCTTGAAAAACTCTGTTGGATAGGAGTAAAGTTGAAGAAACACAGGATATGGCCCCTTTTTAAGACACCATCTGCTGGTAAATTAAGTTTAAAGGTACAGTTTGAATATTAGTGAATGGGAGATTGAGTGAATAGATAAATAGGTTGGTAGAATGCATTGGTGAATAATGGGTCACAAGAGTGATAGGTGGATAGGAGGGTAAGTGG